CTTCAAAATGTGTTCTTTATCTTTGGTGCGCATGTGCATCCATTCATTGAGCCAGCGGCATGCAAAGACAAATCCTTCAAGGAAATCCTGGAAAAATTAAAAGCAAAACGCATTGAAGAACAGAATCACAAACAAAAACAGAAACCACTTCCACCCACAGAAAAGATCGCTACTGAAAGAGAAACCTCCCCCAGTCGATCTAACAAAGAGGACGAGGCTGCGAAGCTCCCATATTTGGTTCGAGATCGTTTCACTCCAACAACACACCAGGCAACCCCGAAAGATGAGGGTGGATTTCGCTTTGTAGATTCAGGTATTCAGCCAGTCAAGCTTATTGTTATCCGGAATGCTATAGTTTTATAGTCTCCTATGCACTGTATTAGACTAAAATGTGCGCAGATATTCCGAAGTGTGATTTCAAACCAATTTTATTGTTGTATTTGGTGAGTTTCTACATTTTGCGTTTATCAAACTTGTAGTAGTAGTTGTTGTTGTTGTTGCTTCTGCTATTGATGACGACGATGATAATGATCTCATCGCAACTAAAATTCAAAACAAAAATTATTTTATTTGTGGGTTTGACTGTTTAAACGTGTCCGGATTCAAACATATATATTCAAACTTTATTCGGACCTTACATGATCAAAAAAAAAAGGACGAGAAAAAACAATTGCTGATTAGAGAATACCAGGATACGAGTGGTTTATACGAGCAATCAGATATCCAAAATTCCTTGCATTTGCGCAATTTCTATTTAACGGTTTTCATTTACAATGCTCTGAAAAATTAACAACCTTGTATTCTTGCTATCGACCTGAACAGGGAGATCACGTTATGGAGCCGTCGATGAGACCCTTGTGCTATCTAGCAATGAAGAAAAACTCGATTACCTCGTGTCTATAATAAGAGATATGAAAAAAGAGCAGCGAATCAGAGAATCATCACTGAGGAGGACTATCGAGATGCTACGAATTGATCTTAATTCACAGGTTAGTTTGTTCTTTCACTTAATGATGGTCGGCGAGATGTATTCGGGGAAAGAAAGTACGAATGATATTTTTGTCTTAATGTTGTATCTTTATTTCCTGTCTCCTCACAGTCGAATGAAGTTGATCATGTCCGCCAGTTCTTAGAACAAGGAGGAGGGTGCCGTGCAGGTAGCTTGGACGGGAAGATCTTCCGACCTGGGAATATCAACAAAAAGGAAAAAAAAGAGAAACCCAAAAATGGAAAATGCTCAAAAAATCCGTGCTATCCAGACGTTGAATGCATTGAAACCCCTGGCATTGGTCTTGGCTTCCAATGCGGTCCTTGTCCACTTGGATTTACTGGAAATGGTCTTCGTTGTGAAGATTTAAATGAGGTAATTTCCCTAGTCATTCTATATTTCTAATGCCTAGGATTCAATTTTTTCAATAATATATTTTTACTTTTAGTGTGATTTCTACCCTTGTTCTCCTTTGACYCGATGCATCAACAGAAGACCTAGTTACCAGTGCACTCCATGTCCTAAAGGATACATAGGAAATGCAACAGTAGGAGTCGGTGTTAGAATGGCTAAAAACAACAAACAGGTAAACTGCTCGCCAACTTGAATCGTTTCCTCGAAAGTAAAAAATACAAAGCATTTGGTCCAGTATTTATTTTAAGCGTAATAGTGCAATCCATGCGCGTGCTACTAGACAAAGCAATTTTTTACATCCACCTGCTGTGAGGACCGAGATCGCAAAAAGATCTTTTTACTACTATGGTTGCACTCTTTTTAATGAATTATCCAAATAGAATTTAGTATTTATGCAAATTTTTATATATTTTTACCATTAATATTTTCTATCTATCTATCATCATATTTCTAGTGTTACTTATAATGTACTATGCATATATATATTATATTGTAGTTTACAGCAATATGCAGAAATTCTGACCACTTTGACTCATATTCCAACTATATATAAAATATATCAGAAATTATGGGATATCATCGCTGATATTTTTTTCAGATACTACTGATCCTAGGCAACTTCAAAAAAATATCAGTGACCATATCCCATAATTTCTGATATATTTTATATATAGTTGAAATATGAGTCAGAGTGGTCAGAATTTCTGCATATTGCTGTATATGAGTTTATATTGTTATGCTCAGGGCTCCCATTGATAACAGATTGCTTTTTGCATCTGATGGGGCTACCCTGAGCGGTATAAGTTAATAAAGGTATATCTATCTATCTATCTATCTATCTGACCTATTCGAAAATTGAGGACAAGTTACATAGTAGTTGGCCTATACTTACTCTACTATGCTCTTGCAGCAATACAAATAGAGGATGTTACATGTGCGCGTGGAGATACGGATGTTATCTTCGAGTGTAAAAGATCTTCAACACAAGAAGATAAAATTCGTATCTCTAATCGACCATGTAATATCCTCAATTTATCAAATATGAATTATTCAAATTGGTCCACCATTTTTAAAATCAGTATGTAACACACTACCGGAACTGTATTCCTCGATTTCACGACCAATCGGTGGTGAAACTAAGTAAATCCTAGCAAGGGTGGGGTGAAATTTAATTTGTTTAATTTCTACTTTACAGGTTTGTGAGGACATCAACGAATGTKCGTACGACAATGGCGGATGCTCAAAACATTCAACCTGTATTAATACTGAGGTAAGTTCTCGAAACGAGGAATAAAAAACAGTAATTCATTAAGGACACTTGTGTGTGGCTACGATTACTTGAAAAATATCAGTAATCAAAGATAATATCAGTTATAAAAAAAATATTCTGTATTATGGACGCCGCCATTTTCCGACCAAAGTTGCAAAGTATTTTAGCTCACTGATTGGCTGTTTGTTTCAGGGGAGTTATCGCTGTGGACCATGTCATGAAGGCTATGACGGTGACTCATACAAAGAGTGCAAACGGGTCCTATTCTGTTCAGGTGCTCCCAGAGCAAACCCTTGTGGTTCAATGGCGACATGTATCCCAAGAAATAAAGGCCGGAATTACGAATGTGAGGTAAACGATTCTAAGGGGCTGTAATCTCTGATGGTAAAAATAAAAACAATTTCCTTGACAAGGAAAAATTGCTCGTGTAAATGGGGTAAGATGGACAATTTGTCCTTGTCAAGGAAAAGCCAACATGTTCGCTTTTCCTTGACACGGAAAAATTGTCAAGGACGTGAAATTTGCTCGTGTAAAGTGGACAACAAGGAAAATGTGGCAAAGAAAAATTGTCAATGAAAACTTGTTGACCATTCACAAGGGCAAATTTTCCTTGTCAAGGAAAACTTGTTCTTCGTTTACACGAGCAAAGAAACATTGTCAAGGAAGAATTGACAAGGAAAACTTGTTGGCCATTTACACGGGCAATTTTTCCTTGTCAAGAAACTTGTCAAGGAAAAATTGCTCGTGTAAACGGCGCTAAACGTATGCATCAGTGTGTTCGAGCCTTTTGAATACAAGTTTCATTTTTCTCTTTTTGTTGTCAGTGTCGTAAAGGCTACGCAGGAGATGGGGTACTGTGTGGACCAGACAAAGACATGGATGGGTATCCTGATAAAGATCTTGAATGTCATACTCCACATTGTAAGAAGGTAAAACTAGAAACTGAATTTTATTTCTTCTATATATTATTATTATAAAGTGCGTCGTTCCGTTTAACAGGACAACTGCCCATCCATCCCAAACAGTGGACAAGACAACGTCGAYGGTGACTCTTACGGCGACCGATGTGAATACGACGCTGATGGCGATCGCCATCCGAATGAAGTAGTGAGTATCTAACTTTAAAACCAATAATTAAACGAATGAAAAGCCGAGTAGTTATTGATTAGTTTCAACAAATACGACAAATCATCAGGTGTATTGAGAGAATCAACGAAGATCTACATACGATGAATTCCGGCATTACACCAATTGTAAGATCAAAATTTCTCCCACAAATATAGACGGACTCAGAAAAAGGATAGAGATACCAACATTTTTTGTGACGAAGGCCTTTGAGAAGGCCTCTCGTCACTATGTCATTGAGTATGAGTGTCTGTAACTAAATCGAAGTAATTTCGGATTAAAAACCTGTACGAAATCGTCTAAAAGTTCCGACGACTAATTTACGAGGAAAGATCGATTTGACCTAAAATGTGCGTTCTCTTTTCTCAACTCAGCGACTTGTGCTTTCGACACCACAATGTATTCAAACTATTTTGCACAACTTAGTTCTATCCTATGCATTTGCTGTCAAATTTGTATTTCTAAAGAGTATTTTAGATTTGGGGTTGCTTTATGTCCTATTCTAGAGTCTATGTTCCTATTAAATCTCTTATGCCTTAGTCACATGCAGTCCTTGACTATGTATGGAAGGAGATTAAAATGAAAATATAAGCCTAACAGGCTCTTAAAACCAGGTTTCTTATACGCGTTCTATTGCCCTCTTACGGAATACCGGATCTAGGACTACAGCTGATAAACCTCGTTATTTTAGGACAACTGCCCMACAGTATCAAACAGTGACCAGAAGAACACAGACTCAGACAACGTAGGCGATGCCTGTGACAACTGTATATTTGTCAATAATCCTGATCAACGTGATACCGACAATGATGGTGTGGGTGACGCATGTGACGTAGACATCGATGGAGACGGTAAATGAGTTTGTCCTAGAAAACATTTTTGCTGATATTCGGACGATTATTGCTATTTTTCATTATCTTAGGGATAGTCAATGTACAGGATAACTGCCCAACAAAACCAAATCCTGACCAGAAAGATTCTGATGGCGATAAAATTGGCGATGYCTGTGACAATTGTCCCAATGCGCGAAACCATGATCAGGTAATGTTGTGATATGTTGTGGACTATGATAGGATGAATATGTGTGCCACAGGCACGTTCGTCAAATTTCGTTGTAAGAGACAGGAAGCTTACAAAGGCTTACAAAGGAGACTATAATAGGTTTTGATATGAAGTCTTACTTCTTTATCTTATATAATTACAAAATCGTGTGATGATTGCGTTTAGCAATGATAGTTACTCTCTTATTTTAGAGTAGTGGTTAATTATTATAGTTTCATTCATTCTTGGCGTTTATCTATTTCTTTTCATCTGTTTTMATTTAGGCTGATAGGGATGGTGATGGTTTTGGAGACAGATGTGATTACAACGAAGACAAGTAAGTTGGTGATATAACGTCACTCCATGTACACGATCCTATCTCACTCAAATTTRAACTGATCAACGTTAGAAATGTACTCGGGCAGATAACAGTTATGCACTGCAGAGATCTCGAATACACTGAGCTGACAGTGGAACCCCGTCAAACTTGCCACAGAGAGGAGCGGCCGTATTGACTGGCCAGAAATATATGGCAGTAWAATAAAAATCTTGCCATACAGGCTGGCCGTAATACGCGATTCAGTGCACTATTCTTCAGTCACGAAAGGTTCCCAAGTTAAAAGAAAGAAAACTAATATTTGYAAAAGTGTTCCAGTTCAAATACATCATGCCAAAGTTAATGTACGCTAATTAAATCTATTCAGGGATAAGGACGGTATCGATGATAAGCATGACAACTGCCTTAACAAGCCAAACTCGGCCCAGTTGGATACAGACGGCGATGGACGAGGTATAAGAGAATACTAAATAAAGGAATGGATGCATGAACACAGTCTTTCACCCATCAGACTTTGTTGTCAACACAGGAAAATATAAGCTACGGGGAAGRCTAAGAAATGTTGACCCCTATTAAAAAAATACTAATATTCTGTATACAGAGTAGCCTATCTGCGTACATTCGGTTTATTCTCTAAACGAGTTCGCTGGATGGCTATATGCAGAGCTAAATGCCTMAAATTATCGAGAAAAATACAATTGCTTGAAAAAACAAGAGGACAATCAAACGATTTTGACATCTCATCATATTGTCATAAACAATGTTCTTATTCATTCATACATCAATTATTATTCTTTTCAAAACATCCATCAAGTGTTTGTCCATCCATTCATTTGTTTTAAGTTGAAAGAGATAGGGAGAACAGGTATAATGAATAATCGTCTAATAATCTATGTATAATGCATAGGTGATGCATGTGACAGYGATGATGACAATGACGGCATTCCTGATTACAGAGATAATTGTAGACTGATAAAGAACGCTGACCAAAAAGATTCTAATCGTAAGTAGAAATCATGTTTTCAGCCCAAAACAAAGGAAGTCAGCTGCAGCCAATTTCATATTATGATAAAGATGAATAAAACATCAGTTCTTTTCAAAGTACCTTGATGCCTTATTGACAAAATATTTCACTTGATAAGGAAATATTTAAAAGTGGAAATGCAATAAATAAACTAAAAAAAATGATGCAAGCATATGCCCTGTAAATTAATAAGGAATACAACAGAAGATGAATGAATTATATCAAATATGGATATATGTCAAAATTACTTCTTCGTTATATATATAGAAATAGAGAGAAATTTCATCTTTTTTCTTAATGCTAATAACAAGCTAATAATAATGTTATATTTCAATATCATGTCAGTGCATACAGCAGTAGATAACTCTCAAACTCTCAAAATAATAAAAAAATGAACAAGGGACTAATCTATTAGAGATGTTGTTAAAGTCTTAGTTCAAGCTTGTGTGGCAGCCCTAAAAGGACTGCTTTGTTGTCAACACGGGCCTCCCCAGTCCCCGTACGCAGTCTACAATACACAAGTAATACCCTTTCAGCTACCATAACTAATTGCTGCTTTAGATAATTTTGACATATTTCTCTTTWATACTAGTTGATGGCATAGGAGATGCATGTCAAGGAGATTATGATGGTGATGGTACACCAGACAAGGATGACATATGCCCTTATAACAAAAAGATTTATAAAACGGACTTCAGTAAATACTTCCCGGTACACATTTTCCCTGGAAGTACTGATAAAGATCTTCCAGAATGGAGAGCAACTAAAAAGGTATGAGACAATTTGAATCTTATACTTTTGTAGGAAACATTAAACTAGTAGCCTGTGTGCATCCGTTTCGATCTCACCCCTCCAAAAAAATCGGGTAGAGAACTCCCCAATTTTTTGGAGGGGTGAGAAACGGATGTTTCACAGGCTATAAACTAGATGCAAGTGTAACAATCTTTCCTCAATGCAAATAAACACCAAATCCACAAAATATAACCAAAATGTTTGCTCACAAATAGATTTCGTTTACACCAACTAATTGACTGGCCAACTGATGGACAGACAGACGCATGATCTGCATCAGTGAATGAGTCAATCAATCAATAACTCAATGAATTAATTAATCAATTAATAAATGACTGACTGATCTTTCCCTCTCTCTTCATTTTCAATTTCATTTTTTAATTTAAATTCTTTATTTTCATGTAAAACTAAAGGGAGATGAAATACTAGTAGGCAAAAATAGTAATGTTGGTCTTCTCATCGGTAGGTATATTTACAAATACAAAAAAAAAGATTGATTTTGATTTTGGAAAAATTTTGAGGAAATATGATCATTCGTAGATGTGGTGATGTCGGAATTTGCACTTCAATGGCTGTCAAACGTATATTATAGAAAAAAATATGTCTTACAAAACGAATACATACAAAATATAGCACCAAATTTAACAGGAACTTACCAAAAATTTTGTTCTCTCATTTCAGCCGAACCAATATATGAAGACGTGGAATTCAAAGGCACAATTTATGTCAACCTAAACTATCGAGATGACGACTACTTCGGTTTTGTCTTTGGCTACCAAGACTTTAGATCGTTCTATCTCCTCTCTTGGAAGCAAGCTGACCAAATTTACTGGTATACTAATCCATTCTACGCCAGGGCAAAGAGATGGCTAAGCCTAAAGGTAAAAAAGCAAAGCAAACATAAAGTGCATGTCGGCCATTTCATGGTTCGTTTCAGCTGTTTTAAACTTAGCTTAAGTTTATCTTTCAAGGACAAAAGTACAATAAAACTCACTTTAATTCACGCCGAAATCTTCCCAACTCATGTAGCTTTGATCAAAGATCCTATAATTTGAATTTTTGGTTTCCATTGGCACAAAACAGAATTAAAATATCAAGTCGAGAGACAGCGACGCTCGTGCTTTCTCTTGACGGGCGGGAAA